AGAGAGAGAGAGAGAGAGAGAGAGAGAGAGAGAGAGAGAGAGAGAGACTGTGCTCCTTCAATCCACCATGAGAACACAACCAACAGAATCAACTAACCGGTTCTCACAGAGGCTTACAGAGACTGAACCAATCATCAGCGACCCTGCATGGATCTGGCCTAGGCACTCTGAATATATATTGTGGCTGTGTAGCTTGGTGTTCTTGTGGGACTCCTAACAGTGAGAATGGGAGTGTCTCCTAACAGTGAGAATGGGAACTGTTTTTCCTACTCTTGGGATCCTTTTCCTCCTATTGGGTTGCCTCCCTCGTCTTGATATGAGCATTTGTCCCTGGTCTTATTGTAACTTATTATACTGTGTTTGGTTGATATCCCTGGGAGGCCTTCCATTTTCTGAAGGGAAATGGAGGAGCAGTATATTTAGGGGAGAGGGAAGTGGAAAATTGGGAGGAGTGGGGAGAGGGGATACTAAGGTCGGGATGTGATATATAAGAGAAGAATAAATATAAAAAATAAAAAGTAGGCACTCTAAAATGAGTCTTTATAGAACTATTGAATAAGTGTGTGTGAAGGACTTAGCGTCTGGTGTATGATAAAAGCTCAGATCAGAATAAGGTACTTTTAGCTTCTCTGATATTTCTGGGAGATGAGCTCACAGGAAACTACCTGTTCATTTAGCTTTTATAATCTTTCCACCCCCTCTTCCATTATGAAATCTCATCAACATTGCTTCCTAAACAAGAACCAAACAAGGACAATACCCATGCCAACATGAAAGGGGAAATCTCATGGGGCCTCAGCCCTAGACAAAGAACTACAGTCAACTAAGGAATTCTGAGAGCAAGGTTGTGAGGTGGGGGGAAATAGTGTTCCCCAGGAAAAAGCACACCAAATGGTTATCCAATACCAAGTGGTCAGCCCTTAAAACATACATGCAAGTAATTTTATATAGACTGAACAGGCTGAATTTATATATTTAAGAATACAGACCTAAGCAGCAAACTCTCAACAGAGGAATCTAAAATGGCTGAAAGACACTTAAGGAAATGTTCAACATCCTTAGTTATTAGAGAAATGCAAATCAAAACAACTCTGAATTTCCATCTTACACCTGTAAGAATGGCCAAGGTCCGATTTCTCAAAAAATTAAGAAGCAACCTTCCTCAAGACCCAGTAATACCACTTTGGGGTATATATCCAAAGGATGCTCAATTGTGCCACAAGGACATGTGCTCAACTATGTTCAAAGCAGCATTGTTTGTCATAGCCAGAACCTGGAAACAACCTAAAAGTCCCTCGACCGAAGAATGGATAAAGAAAATGTAATACACTTACACAATGGACTACTACACAGCAGAAAAAAATAACAACATCTTGAATTTTGCAGGAAAATGGATGGAGCTAGAAAACATTATTTTGAGTGAGGTAACCCAGACACAGAAAGACAATTATCACATGTCCTCACTCATAAGTGGTTTATAAACATAAAGCAAAGAAAAACAGCCTACAAATCACAATCTCAAAGAACTTAGACAACAATGAGGACACTAAGAGAGACTTACGTAGACCTAATCTACATGGGAAGTAGAAAAAGAAAAAGACAAGATCTTCTGAATAAATTGGGAGCATGGGGACCTTGGGGGAGGTTTGAAGCAGGGAGGGGAGAGGTAGGGAGGGGAGCAGAGAAAAATATAGAACTCAATAAAAATCAATAAAAAAGAAGACTACAGTGTGGGGTGTGTGTGTGTGTAACAGTATAACAACAATTAAAGAAACAGAATCCACACATTTCAGGACAAGCAAGGGGAGGTGCGTGGGAAGGGTTAAATGGTAGAAAGGAGAAATGATGTAATTATATTTATATTTGATATATATTTTACATAATTATAAATTTAATTTCAAAAATAAAAATAGTTTTGAAAAATAATAGAGTACTTTTTGTTTTGTTTGTTTGTTTGTTTGTTTGTTTTTTTAAGACAGGGTTTCTCTGTAGCTTTGGAACCTGTCCTAGAGCTAGCTCTGGTAGACCAGGCTGGCCTCGAACTCACAGAGATCCGCCTGCCTCTGCCTCCTGAGTGCTGGGATTACAATTGTGCAGCACCACTGCCCAACAGGATGAGAGATCTGCCTTGTTATTAGACAGTCAGCACCCTCAGAGCCTCGATGGGACATGATGAGTTCACTTATTCGTGTTCACAGAGCATGGAGCAGGCACCAAAGCTGGGTCAGGGGTATTCTCTGGGTCCTTCTCTTCTAGATCCTTCTTTAAAGACAGCCACGCCTGCCTTGAAGCTTATTGGGAGTTACGGATGCCCACCAGATTCGACTAGTTCTGAAGCACACTGGGAATATGATGTGTTACATTCCCAGGCTCTAATTCCAGAGAGTCTAGCCTAGCAGTTCTGAAGCCAGTAAGTCCACACTCAGGATCCACATCCCAGAGGTAATGGTTTCCATGTTAGTATATAGGGTGTCACTGGGCCAGGTGTCCAGGGAAACTGAACTAGGAGTCTCTGTTTTCTGTAGGAAAAAAATAAATAAATAATCCCACTTAACTTACTTTCCAGGAAACAAGGCATATCATTTTTCCTTGTTTATATGTGTGCATGTGTATGTTTGTGCATATTTACCCGTACACAGGTATGTGCAGTTGTATGTACATTTATTTGCACTGGAATGTAGGAGACAGAAAATACTCTCAGGGGTGGGTCATCCTCAGGAACCCCATCTACCTATTTTGAAACAGCATCCCCCATTACTCCAGAGCTTACCAGTTAGATCAGACTGACTGACTGGCGAGCCTTGGAAGTCCTCTTGTCTCTACCTCCCCAGTGTTGGATCAAGCATGGACCACCATGTCTGGCAACTTTGGGTAGGCTCTGGGGACTGAACTCAGATCCTCAGACTTGTAAGACAAGTGCTTTACCAACTGAGCCATCTTGCTAGCTATTGCCTAGTTTTAATATCAGAGTTTAAGTACAGCATGGCTCTCTGTCTTTTTAACTTGTGCTTTAATGCTACTGGATAAGCTGGATGTATGGACTCTGGGGAGACATGTATTGACACAGTATTACCAATATCACCCAATACAGATTATATTTGTCTTTCTAGGTCTGGGTTACCTCACTCAATATGGTTTTTTCTAGATTCATCCATTTGCATGCAAATTGCAAGATGTCATCATTTTTTACTGCTATGTAGTACTCCATTGTGTAAATATACCACATTTTCTTTATCCATTTTTCAGTTGGGGGGCATCTAGGTTGTTTCCAGGTTCTGGCTATGACAAACAATGCTGCTATGAACATACTTGAGCACATGTCCTTGTTGTGTAATTGAGCATCCTTTGGGTATATACCCAACAGTGATATTGCTGAGTCTTGAGGTAGATTGTTTTCTAATTTCCTGAGAAATTGCCATACTGATTTCCAAAGTAGCTGTGTAAGTTTCTACTCCCACCAGCAATGGAGGAGCATGATGAACATGTAAGATTGGTATTATCCACTTACAAAAATGTAAAATAATGGCACCAACATTCCCAAACCAAAATCATCCTCAGTAGATAGCATTTTATTAGATTACACCTAACAACTTCATATCGGGTGACAATTCACCAGGTACCTAGGAATACATTTTCTAAAAAGATTACATCAAAGTATCTACCAGTAAGTTAAATTGCTTAAATTTAAGCACTATAGAAATAATTTATTAACATTTTTTAATCCACACGGAATGCAAATGTTACCTGTTAAAATTTCCCTGGATAAAACCATCAGGGCCAGAGGCTCTCCACTCGACTGTGCGTAGCAAGATACCCATAATTGAATTCTGAAGAACATATTAGCTCATCCCACATCCCTGAGGAGCTTGGACGGACTTCAATAATTAAGACATATCTCTTGGTTAGATTCGTTAACTAGAGAAGAGCATCAACCTTCTCTCCCACTTAGCTGAGTGTCAGGGTGTATGGATCTACCCTAATTGGACAATGGAGAATTATCTGCACTCACAGTTTTGCCTAAGAATGTATTTTCTTAACTCTTGTGCTTCTAAATGGTTACAAAGGGTCAATTAAGGAAATCGATATTCATAAATAATTTCTTCAAAGACACTCTGTTTGTTCTCCTAATGGTCCAAACTAAATTCTTAGCAAAACAGAAACTCACTTGCTGCCAACCTAGACAAATCCCAGCAGTGGTATTTTTGGGGTGTATAATGTTAATGCACAGAGTACAATGTCCACTAACAATAACAGAGAATGACTTTTATATTTGTGTGATCGTATCTGGCTCTTATAAGTGACCCTATAAGTGGATTAAATTATTTTTCCCAATTTGTATGTAAGTAAGAAAACTTGAGTCATAGAGGTCACAAAATTAATAAGTTATAAAACCAAGACCTGGACCTAACCCTAGAACCTCTATATTTAGCCAGTCTACCATATGTCTTCCCTAAAACAATGATTTAACGAACCCCTTCCCTATCCCTGAACAAGGAGGACCTTATGGAATAGCTTCAACGTTCACTCAGTTCTGAAAGACCTTGGTGAAGGGTACCTCAGGGGTCTGTTTCTTTAAGAAGCCAAACAGAATGAAACAAATATATTCCATCATGGGACATGACTACAGAATCGTGACTCTCAATGATCTTTAGGGTTTTTTCCCCAAACTGGAATTCTAAATGTGTCAGACCCCACACCTGAACCCAGGAATGACCAGCTATCTCCAAAGCAGGGCTATGCCTCTCAAAGAGACTCATCACAAGAGATTTCAGCAGCAGAAGGCAGAGTAGTACGAGTATGGTCCTGCAAGGCAGCAACATCAGCTTGAACTCAGACTCTTGATCTCAGTTGATAATGAAGTTAGTCAGGAAACAGCCCCAACTCATTCAAACCATGGTGGCTTTATTGACTCATGGGAAGTTCAGATACAGATTTTATTGCAGAAAAGAACTTACTCTGAGCACAGTGCAGACAGTGCTCCATCTCTCTGGGTTGCCTAAACAAGACCTTCATAATGGCAACACTAGTTTACATGCAACATGGATAGAAGAAATTTCACAAAGTCCCACCCCTGTATGAAAGCTATAGGTGATAAATGGCTGCTGAGAAAAGGAGAATCAGTTTTCTTCAGGGGCGTGCCACCCGACCTATAGGCTATCCAGTCCCAGGTGGTCAACCCTCAACAACATCTATGCAATGCTAAATGGATGATAGATAGATAGATAGATAGATAGATAGATAGATAGATAGAATGATATAGATATATAGACAGATAGTAGATATATGATAAATAGATTGAGATAGAGAGAGAGAAAGAGAGACAGATAGATGAATGAATGGATGGACAGACTGATATAGATAGACAGATAGACAGACAGATAGATGGTACATATTGTATTATGTATGTGTATGTATATAAAACTATTAAATAAGAGTTCAAGACACAGGAGGATTTGGAGAGGGAAGGGTAGAAATGAAGTAAATACAGTATTCATGTATAAAATTCTTTAAATAAAAAATTTACTCTTCTTTCTATGTGTCTGTTTTCTCATCTATGTAAGAGTGAGTGATTGTCTGAAATTCTTTCAATTAAAAATATATATAAAAAAAGTCAGGTGGTGGTGGCACAGACCTTTAATCCCATTACTTGGGAGGCAGAGGCAGGTGGATCTCAACGAGTTCAAGGCCAGCGTGGTCTACAGAGCAAGGTCCAGGACAGCCGGGCTGTTATACAGAGAATCCCTGTCTCAAAAAAAAAAAATCAAAAACAAAAACATGCATAATTCTGATTCTCTTTGGTAAAGATTCCCAGTGTGATGCACAAACTGCAACACCATGCACTTCAAAGCCATGCCCTGGTGCCGAGGAAGGCAGAGCAGGGAGGTGAAAGGGCCATATTCACAGACTAGAGCTGCAGCATCTGTTGGTATTAAAAGGTCTATAACCAGAGACAAGGGAGAGAATGTAATCCCAGGAGGTGTCTCGTGACTCACAACAGTAGGTCAGGGCCACAGCTGGGGCTTGATTAACACGTTACCCTGTACTGCATACGCCAGTGTCTGCCAGTTCAAAACACTGGGGCTGAGTGTCCCGCCAACATACACTGTATTGATCTGTTCTGGAGATAACACAGTGTCCCACATGTTCACATCTCCAATGTCTCCCACAAAAGACTGGTTTACATCAAAACCACCACCATATGAGTCCTGCTCTTGCCCCAGGACGATGCTTGCCTCTGTCGCTACAGTGTAGCCCTTTCGCAGACTTTTCCGCACCTTGGGTTTCCCATCAACCCAGAATTCTACAAGCCCGGTAGCAGACTCCCAGCTGGCACAGATGTGTGTGGGAGCTTCAGGAATTTCAGAAGCCTTGAACACTATTTCAGGCCCACCCACTCCAAAAACATACCCTTTATCCTTACTCCAAAATATGAGGATGTCATTAGAGTTTTTCTTGGTAGCATAAGAGAAAATACTGAAGCTGCGGGTTGTGCTCAGATCCGTGTAGATATGGAGACACACAGTGAAGGCTGTCAGTGGTTTCTTTGACTGTGCGTTCAGGGACACATAGGAATTGGATGACTCTTTGGGAAATACGAAGGCCGTTTTAGACATGTCTGTGAGACAGAAAACCAAAAAAGGTGAGTAGTTTCTCAGATAACAATGATATATCCCTCATTTACAAGTAGAGTTTGGGGTCAAGATGCATCTGGCCTTTTCCTAGGTTACACAAATACACATCTGTACCCAATGCTGCTTCTTGAATTCCATATGTTAAATATTAGGCTCTCATCCTTCTCGCCCCACATCGAATCTTTAGAATAGCTCCTACCTTTCTGGACAAAAGCCTGAGAGAAGCTGATCAAGATCAGTGAGTAGCACAGCAGCCTCTCCATGTCTGTTGACGATGCTGGGATCTGGATTTCTCCACTACGAGGACACAGTTGTATCTGGCAGAGCAACGATGATAAGTCCTGGATCCCTTGCCTCAGTCCCAGCCCATTCTTGGATTTATAACTATAGCAGAAGGAGAGGCTGGAACCACTTTGTAAATGATTTCCTAACACTGCCTCTTGGGGCAAATGTCAGACCACTGGGAGGAAGGGAAGCCAAAATCATTCTGGAACAGAGAAATCAATGTGGGTTATTTATTACAAACTCTTGTGACCACTGAATCACCAGTTTCTTGTGACAGGAAAAATGACTACGCTTCCCAAGGCTCCCCTTTGCCTATCTAGGTTAAGAAAATAATGGGAAATCTTAGCTTAATAGATGAGCACTCACGTGTGTGCATATGATGCCTGCATCTCCAGCATCTGCTAACCACTTCCCGAAGCTGTTCTTTTACGCTTTGGGAAATAAAGAAAATTAGCATTACATTCTCAGCACCAAAAACATACTTTTCTTGGCCAACTACATAGACTTATCAGAGGCTTTTAACTGAAGGGAGCACGTGCCCCATCCCAAATGTACCACTGTCCTCAATCCAGTGAAACATTGTTTTTTCTGTGGGTTTTTTTTGTTGCTATTGTTGCTGTTGTTGTTTTGATTTTTGTTGGTTTTGTTTTCATTTTAATGTGGAAGCTTCAGAGAGGAGTTAGGATGATTCACTGTTTGCTTCTTTTGTTCACAAATCACATAGCCTAGCTAAAGTTAAGCAGTTAAGTGGGTCTCTACTTAACTCAGTCTTCTAGTTGAATACTGTGTTCCTTTGCCTTGCTCCTGAACCCCTTACAACCTCATGCATTCTTTCGTTCTATTTGTGAGTCACCTTGTAGTTGAGAAATTCGAGAAGCAACACTGTATCCCCTGAAGCAGAGAACCATTCATTCAGTAAGAACACCTGCTTTAGTTAGGTGCTTCCCATCCTGCCAAACACTAGGTGTCTCAGCTTCAGCTAACAGACCTGAATGAGATTTGGACAGAATAGAGATGCTCTCTATGTTGCGCCCTTTAAAGTGAAGATATATGCGGCTTCCCTTTCGCTTCTTCCTTCCCCTTTGGCTAGCATTCATACACACTGATAGGAGATAGAACCATCACCTTTGTCTGACAATGGGCAAGCTGCTTGTTGAAGTTGGCACAGCAACAAGATAGACTGAACCTGTAAATTTTATTATGAAGCCATTGTCTCAGCCCTTGACTATCAACCTGAGTATTTGCTTAAAGGATTTACAGTCTTATGTTTTGTTGAATCGTCATGAATTTGGTCTTTTTAGTACTGGAACTTGGTTGATATCAATTAATATCTTTCCAGTGTGGAATCTCTGCCTCCCCATAAGAAATAAGCAATTGCTCTATATAACTAAGCTCAACCTTGCACCTTTGTAACAGGTCCAGATGATCCATCACCTAACAAATTTTCTTTCTACATTATACATCATTAATTTCATCTCTGCTCCATCACTTCCCAAAACACCAATACTATAATTACCTAACATTTTTTAATTCTTTTTTTTGTAATTTTATTAAATTATAAAAGTTTCCATTTCTGCCCCTCCTCCCACCACTCTCCCACTCCCCCCACTCCCTCTCCTCCTCCCTCTCCATCCCTAAGAGCAGTCAGGGTTTCCTGCCCAGTGGGAAGTTCAAGTTCCTCCCCCCTCCCTCCAGGTCCAGGAAGGTGAGTGTCCAGACGGACTGGATCCGCAAAATTCAGTATATGCAGAGGAAACAAGTCCCAGTGCCATTGTCAATGGCTTTTCAGAAAGACTCCGGCCAGCCACATTCAGAGAATCCGGCCACATTCAGAGCATCTGGTTGGATTGCGTCCTCATTCAGTCCCAGTCCAACTGGCCTTGGTAAACTCTCATTAGATCCGTCCCCTTGTATCAGTGGGTGATCACATCCCTCGCAGTCCTTATTTCCTTTTTCATTTTCTTCCTCCTTCTGCTCCTCATTTGGACCTTGGGGGGCTCAGTCCGGTGCTCCAATGTGGGTCTCCATCTGTATCGCCATCCATCGTGGGATGAAGGTTCTCTCTGATCTTGCCGTCTTTGTTCACGTTCTCTTTCCTTCTGCTTCTCGTTTGGACCTAGGGAGTTAAGTCCAGTGTTACGATGTGGGTCTCTGTCTCTGTCTCCATCCATCGCCAGATGAAGGTTCTATGGTGATAAGCAAAATATTCATCAGTATGGTTATGAGCCTAGGCCGTTTCAGGCACCCTCTCTTCTGTCCAGAGAACAATCTGGGGATTTCCTTGGACCTGTGATCCCATTTATAATCAAGTCTCTTGTAAACCCTAAGATGACTCCCTTAGTTGAAATATATTATTCCCTGATCTCATATCCATCCTTCCTCCCTCCCCCCATCCCAGTCCACCTATCTTTCCCCATTCTTCCCCTACTCCCTTCTCTCTAACCCTCTCCCCTTCCAACAACCATCCTATTGCCCCCCATGCACCCGAGGTTACCTGGGACTCTTGTCTATTTCCAATCTCCAGGCAGATAGCTACATGATTTTCATCAGGTTCACCTTCTTATTTAGCTTCACTAGGATCACGAATAATAGGCTCATAGACCTTTAATTATGGTTAGAATTCACATATGAGTGAATACATACCATATTCCTCTTTTTGGGTCTGGCTTACCTCACTCAGTAAAGCGTTTTCTATTTCCATCCATTTGCATGCAAAATTCAAGATGTCATTGTTTTTTACCGCTGAGTAGAACTCTAATGTGTATATGTTCCACACCTTTATTAACCATTCTTCTATTGAGGGGCACCTAGGTTGTTTCCAGGTTCTGGATATGACAAATAGTGCTGCTATGAACATAGTTGAACAAATGCTTTTATAGTATGATAGGGCATCTCTTGGGTATATTCCCAAGAGTGGAATTGCTGGGTCCTGAGGGAGGTTGACTCCCAGTTTCCTGAGAAACCGCCACACTGATTTCCACAGTGGCTGCACAAGTTTGCATTCCCACCAACAATGGATGAGTGTTCCCCTCATTCCACATCCTCTCCAGCATAGGCTATCATTGGTGTTTTTGAGTTTGGCTATTCTGACAGGTGTAAGATGATATCTCAAAGTGGTTTTGATTTGCATTTCCCTGATCGCTAAGGAGGTTGAGCATGACCTTAAGTGCCTTTTGGCCATTCGGAGTTCATCTGTTGTGAATTCTCTGTTCAGTTCAGTACCCCATTTTTTAATTGGGTTAATTAGAGTTTTAGTGTTTAGTTTCTTGAGTTCTTTGTATATTTTGGAGATCAGACCTTTGTCTGATGAGGGATTTGTGAAGATCTTCTCCCAGTCAGAAGGTAGCCTTTTGGTCTTACTGACAGTGTCCTTTGCTTTACAGAAGCTTCTCAGTTTCAGTAGGTCCCATTTATTCATTGCTTCTCTTATTGTCTGCGCTCCTGGGGTTCTGCTTAGGAACTGGTCTCCTGTGCCTATATCTTGTAGACTACTTCCCACTTTCTCTTCTATCAGGTTCAAAGTGGTCACATTAATGTTGAGGTCTTTAATCCATTTGGACCTGAGTTTTGTGCATGGTGATAGATATGGATCTATTTTCATTCTTCTACAAGTTGACATCCAGTTATGCCAGCACCATTTGTTAAAGATGCTTTCCTTCTTCCATTGTATGCCTTTAGCTCCCTTGTCAAATATCAGGTGTTCATACGTTTGTGGGTTAATACCAGGATCTTCTATTCGATTCCATAGGTCAATTTCTCTGTTGTTATGCCAATACCAAGCTGTTTTCAATACTGTTGCTCTGTAATAGAGTTTGAAGTCAGGGATGGTAATGCCTCCAGAAGTTCCTTTATTGTATAAGATTGTTTTGGCTATCCTGGGTTTTTTGTTTTTCCATATAAACTTGATTATTGTTCTCTCAAGGTCTGTGAAGAAGTTTGATGGAATTTTGATGGGAATTGCGTTGAATCTATAGATTGCTTTTGGTAGAATTGCCATTTTTACTATGTTGATTCTCCCTATACAAAAACAGGGGAGGTCTTTCCATTTTCTGGTATCCTCCTCAATTTCTTTCTTCAAGGACTTAAAGTTCTTGTCAAATAGTTCTTTCACTTCCTTGGTAAGAGTTACCCCAAGATATTTTATGCTATTTGTGGCTATCATGAAAGGTGATGTTTCTCTGATTTCCCTCTCTGCTTCTTTATCATTCGTGTATAGGAGGGCAACCGATTTTTTGGAGTTGATCTTGTATCCTGCCACATTACTAAAGGTGTTTATCAATTGTAGAAGTTCTTTGGTAGAGTTTTGGGGGTCACTTATGTACACTATCATATCGTCTGCAAATAATGAGAGTTTAACTTCATCCTTTCCAATTCGAATCCCCTTGATCCCCTTATGTTGTCGTATTGCTATTGCTAGAACTTCAAGAACTATATTGAAGAGGTATGGAGAGAGTGGACAGCCTTGTCGTGTTCCTGATTTTAGTGGAATGGCTTTGAGTTTCTCTCCGTTCAATTTGATGGTAGCTGTCGGCTTACTATATATTGCTTTTATTATATTTAGGTATGATCCTCGTATACCCAATCTCTCCAACACCTTTATCATAAAGGGGTGTTGAATTTTGTCAAATGCTTTTTCAGCAACCAGTGAAATGATCATATGGTTTTTTTCTTTCAATTTATTTATATGATGGATTACATTGATAGATTTGCGTATGTTGAACCAGCCCTGCATCTCTGGGATGAAGCCCACTTGATCATAATGGATGATTTTTCTAATGTATTCTTGGATTCGGTTTGCCAGGATTTTATTGAGTATTTTAGCATCAATGTTCATGAGTGAGATTGGCCTGTAATTCTCTTTCTTGGTTGTGTCTTTGTGTGGTTTTGGTATCAGGGTAACTGTAGCTTCATAAAAAGAGTTTGGCAATGATTCTTCTGTTTCTATATTGTGAAATACATTAAGGAATATAGGTATTAGCTCTTCCTGGAAGTTCTGGTAGAATTCTGCATTGAAACCATCTGGTTCTGGGCTTTTTTTGGTGGGGAGGTTTTTGATAACAGCTTCTAATTCTTCGCGACTAACAGGTCTATTTAGATTGTTC